CCGGACATGGTGGTGCATGCTTGTAATTCCAGCACTTGGGAAGCTAAGCCAGGAGGATCACTGTGGGTTCGAGGCCAGCCTGGGCTGCATAGAGTTCAGTGCCAGCCTGCACTACATGGCAAGACCTTGTCTCAAAACAAACAGGGTGGGCCCGGGGAGATGGCTCAGTGGAATAAACGCTTCCCTGGCAAGCGCAAGGGCCTGAGTTCAATCCCCAGTTCCACCAAAACAAAACAAAACAAAACAAAACAAAACCAAAAAAAAAAAAACAGGCCTGTGGAGATGGCCCAGTAGAATAAGCACTTGCTTGGCAAGTGCAAGGGCCTGAGTTCAATTCCCAGTTTTGCCAAACAAACAGCAGCAGTAAAATCCCAGGAGGATATGTATGATGAGTTCTGTGCAAATACTATGTCTTTTTTTTTTTTTTTTTGTGGAACCGGGAATTGAAGTATGTCAATTTTCTGTGGGCACTCAGTCATGTATGGATCTTGGTACCATGGAGAATCCTGGTGCTGGTCCCAAGGGGCATCTGTATTGTGACAGAGTGGATCCACTTGTCTTAAGTTTGTTTTTTAAAAATTTGGGCCAGGGTCTCATTATGATTGGGACCAGGCCTGCCCCCCCTTTTTTTTTGCGGAACCGGGGATTGAACTCAGGACCTTGTGCTTGCCAGGCAAATACTTATTCTACTGAGCTATCTCCCCGGCCCCAGGGTCTCATTATATAGTTCAAGCTGCCCTTCAGTTCACTGTCTGGCCTAGGATGGCTTTGAGCTTATGTTGCTCCTCCTCCTGAGTGCTGGAATTGTCCGATAGTTCCTTTAGAAGTGGCTTGCCAAGCCGGGTGTGGTGATGCGCGCCTGGAATCCCAGCACTCAGTTATAGTGATTCATGATTCATGCAAGCTCCTTGTGGTATGTCTCTTTTAATGCTGTCTACCTCTTAAGGAAACTCAGTGAGAGGTTCTATGTAAATGGTCCTGAGAGTCATCATTTTTTTTTTTTTTTTGCGGAACCAGGGATTGAACTCAGATCCTTGCGTTTGCCAGTCAAGCGGTTATCCTACTGAGCCATCTCCCTAGCCCCTTGAGAGTCATCTTGCCTTCCCTTGAGATCTTGAAAGTCACAGGATCTGCTTACTTGCCCAGTCAGTTTTGCCACCCTTCCTTTTACATCACTGGGATTACAGGCATGTGCCCCCTGCCTGGCTTATTTTAGGTTTTCCTTAGGCCTGATTAGTTTGGTGTTCAGAGCAGTGATAGACGCTTATAGGGACTCAGGCAATGTTGAGTGAATGTTTTGGGGTTTGAATTCTTGTGGTAACCAGCACAGAGCTTGAACTGCACCGGTCTTGTTGGGCTTGATGGACCATGGCTGTAAAGCTTCTGCCTATGAAATGGTGGCCAGCGATGGCTCTGGGCACATGCTCAGCTTCTGCAGGTTCGGATGAGGCCTTGGGGTGTGCGGCTTCTTAAGGCCGTATTGCCTGGAGAAGATGGAGGCAGGCCTTTGAGGCATGTGACTGCAGCCAGGATGAGGGAATGGCCCTAAGGAGGGGGCTGTCTGATGCTATCTTAAGGTTATCAATCCTACTTGGTCTAATACTTTAGGCCAACTGTTTGTGCCCTTGTGCTCTGGGGTGATGGAGGGGTTCTCAACTCTGAGCAACAACAGAAACGGCTGGAAAGTGTTCTGAACAGGTCCCTGGCCTGTTGCCTCAGCAACCAGAGTGGTGATGGGAGGTGATTGGGTCTCTGCTGGTTGCTTGAGGTAACCGCATCCTTAGTAACTAGTCCTTGGGAGGGGCTGAACTCAATTTGGGAGCTTCAAGAGGAAGAAGTTGATTTCCAGGTCCCCTTGGTTATTAGGGACAGAGGGTCAGGACCTTTTTGAGGGCCCAGACCTCCCCACACGGATGGTGTCTTAGTTACTCTTCTCTTGTTGCTGGGACAAATACCTGACACCCAAAATGAAGGAAGGAAAGGTTTATTTAGCTCACAGTTACTGGAGGTTTCAGTCCATACTCAGCTGGGTCCAACGCAGAGCAGCACAGAGCAGAAAGCAACCTTTCATGGCGGCGGCAAAGAGCAAGAGCACAAGGGAGGGGTAGCAGCAGCTCAAGCAGCTAGCTTCTCTTCCCACCTTACATTGTAATGCAAATCACCTGCTCCCGGGCAGGTGCAGCATCCACACCCAAAGCAATCAGTCACAAACTCCTAGGCCGCCCCAAGGCTGCATGAGGCTTTAAGGGGACAACTATACACAAACCATAACAGATGGTATGGGTGGCTCTTCTCTGAAACCAGCTCCTGGAGAGGTGGGAACTGAGAAAGAGAGGTAGGCAGCTGCTAGGGAAGTGGGAGAAGCAGGCTCTGGGCAGAGTTTCTCACGATGTCCTCTCTACCCTCCCGTGCTTCACTACCCTCCAGGCTGACTTGAACTGGGGCCCAAGTGGCGAAGAGGCGGGCACTGGGGGAGGCAGCAGTGGCAGTGGTGGCTTCTATGGAGTGAGCAACCAGTACAAGAGCCTGGAGCACATGACGCTTACCTGCTCCTCCAAGGTCTGCTCTTTCGGCAAGCAGGTGGTGGAGAAGGTGGAGGTAAGGCTGGAGGCAAGGCTGGGTGTGCTCCAGGAAGCCATGATGGGGCAGGCATTTGGGGTTTGCCTGGAGGGAGGTCTCAGCCTGTGTGGGGATTTAATGCATGGGGCTGGGACAATTAGAGTTCAAAGGGTCCAGTTTGAGAGTTAAAAGGTACAGAGATTAAACTGGATGTAGTGCTATATGCCTATAATCCCAGCACTTGAAGCTGACAGGCTGAAGCAGGAGAATCTACACAAGCTCAAGGCCAGCCTGGGCCATACAGTGAGCTCAAGGCCAGCTTGAACCACATAGGAATACCGTGTCTCAAAACCAAAAGAGAAAGATGTCTGGATTTAGTTACTGAGATTAAGAAGGCTCCTGTGACTACAGAGGGGTTCACAGGACAGAGAGGCTCGAACATTACACTTAGCAGTTTGGGGGGACTTGGGTCTCAGGTGCAGTTGTGGGATGGTGGGGAGGAGTCTGGGATTATATAGTGGGATTATAGGCATATAGCACTATGTCCAGTTTAATCTCCGCTAGAGTTGGAGGCCAGATGAATTCAAAGGCCATCGAGGGTTTATAGCAGCACTCTGAGGGGCTGGGCTTTGCAGGTTCATGGGGTGCATCTAGTTCCTGGGGTGACCTATGTGTCTCTGAGCCTCTGTTTGCCCCATTCCCTGCCCCTGGTTCAGACGGAGCGGGCCCAGTTGGAGGACGGGCGATTTGTGTACCGCCTGCTGCGCTCGCCCATGTGCGAGTACCTGGTGAACTTCCTACACAAGCTGCGGCAGCTGCCGGAGCGCTACATGATGAACAGCGTCCTGGAGAACTTCACCATCCTGCAGGTGATCGCAGGCCAGGGGCCCTCAGCCAGGAAAATGAGGCCCTGGGGATCCCACAGGTGCCCCTTAGTGTAGGTGGGCATCTCTCTTGGGAGGTGGCAAAGAGGCCCCTGACACCCCCCCCCCTCCCGTGGGGTATCAGTCCAAGCCTAAGCATTCTCCCACTTCCCGGCAGGTGGTGACGAACAGAGACACCCAGGAACTGCTGCTGTGCACCGCCTATGTCTTCGAGGTCTCCACCAGTGAGCGTGGGGCCCAGCACCATATCTACCGCCTGGTCAGGGA